TGAAATATTCCACTGAAAATAAAATCACAATAGAAATCAATAAAAAACAAAAAAGAATGTTCTTTCTTACGTTTTCTTTGGTACAGGATTTGGTGCATTTAGTAAAAGATTACGATAATTTTCAGATTGCATAAAACGTGGATAACTATTTTTTTTCATTAATTCAATAATATGTTTTTCAGCTTCAAAAAATATTTCACTAGAAAATATTTATATCGAACTTTAATAATGAAATTTTATTCTTTTATTTTTTTGTGGAACTCACATTATGTTTTTCGAAGAAAAATATAGTAAGCTATGCATCGAGGTTTTACGACTCCCATGTTACAATGAATATTCTTTTTCCCTATCAACAAGGAGAGAGGGAAAGCCTAAGGTCATTGGAGATGTTTCCATAGCAAATGAGGACAACGGGAATCCAATGCACTTCTTGGAAATCCTTATTAACGGAAAAAGAGACTGAACAGCTGTAGCAACAATACTTCAACATTTTAAATCTTTCTCGAAATTCGAATGGCTAAAATACGTTTGTCAACGTTCTAAATAGTGTCCCGTTTAAGACTTTTGAATAGATAAAATTTCTGTTCAACATGTCAGGTATGTTGGGTAGTCTAGCATTAGTTTGCCACAGTCGTCATATGATAAACTTAAAAAACGTGAATTAATCAATATCAGTGCTTCTGAGCTTATCGAAATATATAATAGAGCCTTAAGACTTGCTGTAGATATATTGGATATGTACAACAGACTCATTTGTCATTTAAATCAATGGTTAGAATATTAATAATGTGGAATTAAGATATATGAAAATGGCAACAGCAAGGGAATAACAGCAAGTCAAAGAAAATATTTTTATTCGGAATGTCAAAATAAATAAGACGGATTATTTCCCTGGTGATCGATTATTCTTGGAAAATAATAAGGTCTTCTAGAAAATGTTGACTCAGTGGTGGATTTAGAAGAGGAACACTGGGGATGGGACGAGCGATTGCTCCTTTCCTCCGAGTTATTTAATAATTTTTCTAAGCAGAAAATGCCAAATAAATGAATCGACACAACCTCTGATTGGACTTGAAAACACACTTTGTGATTATAATCACCTCCATGTACTAAAATCCTAGATCTGCCACTATTTTCACTCTCAGTATTTTATATTAGCATAATCAGACTAAAGAACATACATGAGTTCCACATTTGAACCACACCCAAAGGGGTTGTGCTGACGAGCTTTTTTTCATTAGAACATGAATCTTACCGACTCGGATTATCTAACTGTTTGATAATTTTTGTTCTAATTGTATCGTTTATATTAACTTCTTGTGGTGCATTCGGTGCTAAATGTTCACTAATAAATAAGCAAGACAAAAAGAACTATCGAAATGAATATTTTTATATTCTACTAACCGATAAACGACTTCAGCTTTTTGTTTCATTTGTGATAACGGACAATTTCGTATTTCTTGGACGTGTAAATAAAAATTAAGGCTTTCAGTAGAAAAATCAGCTTTACAAAATTTCATAAATTCACGAACACCAGTTGGATCGGAAAGAAGCTCCTTACAATTAAATGACCAACGACGAATACGAAGTTGTGTAGGATTTTCAACTCTGAACATATAAAATAGTTCTCTTATTCTATTCATTATACATGAATCAAAAACATACAAAGGTTGCATTAAATTCCATCGATCTGTATCCGATGTTAACCATGGATTGGATGGTGGACAATGTCCCAAAAATGGATCATAGTCACTTAATACTTCAAAGAATGCACACAAACTAAAATAAAATAAAATACAAAATGATTTAAATTTCTTTTTCCTCAAATACATGAAATAATTCTATGGCAACATAAAGCAATAGAATATAAACATTAAAAAAGAAGACAGAACAAGGCAACATCGATCGGCTTGGCAGGGACATGTAATAGAAGAAGTAAAACCTTTGATGTGTTTGCGATGATTTTGTGCGTACTCGATTTGTTAATGCCTGTTGCAGATATTCAAGCTGAAAAATTTTGAGTTTAATCATTTTTTAAATCCTTTTCTTGTTCTACATAAAAATCATTTTAATAATATCAATTAACTTACACGACGTTTTAGTGCTTCATCACGTCTCATTGGTCGAAATGTATATAAATCATTACGAATATCCATTTCCAAAACAGATGTTTCATCCGGCTAGAAATATCAATTAAATATTATCAAAATACGAAGATATAGCTCATAAACAATCACATTGTAAGTATTTTTGAATATTTTTCTCTATTATTCATATGATTGAAACAATTTTCTTATCAAAAGATAGGGATTGAAATTCTAAGCAAAATGATATGATTTATTAAATGAATATAGTTTCCTTCATCTGTTGAACTAAACATAATTGTACAGCAAAATGAAGTACAAGATGGAAAAATTTTTTTTTCTCTCCTTTTCTTTTTTTGACAGAGCATTTTATTTCATCTATCAATGTTGCCTGTGTGGTTATGTGATACCGATTCATAGCTTCAGCTGATTCCTTCCATAAACTGTAGTCTAGTGGACATAACTAAGGTGAATTCGGTGATCAACTATTCTTCGAGCTGAATGCAGGAAAATGATCAGCTCACTATTTTTGGTTCAGATGATGTGTGCGCGAGTTTTTAAACTGTCTTGCTCGTATGTTTAGTTGTTTCTTAACATTTTTTGTTGGATTCTAGAGTTAGTGGAACAATGTCGTTGATGTTCTAGATGTTAATTACCGACAGTATATCCATCGATATAATGTGCGCTATACCAAGGTTCTTTTTTTTAAGTGGTTTACTATGCTGTATGGTATTAAGATTTTTCAAGTAGATTAAAACTGACAGAATTGAATCGATTTTGATGCACTCTGAGTATGTTAATGCGTGTAAGCCCTGTGTACTAGTCACACAGTCCAAATCTCCTTCAGCTATGAGATACATTTTCACTAGTAAAATATATTCTGAAACTGTTTTCTTCTCGATTGATTTGAATTCGTTCTAATAAATAATTCAATTTTGAGCAGAAACCACTCTGACCAACCATTTATAGCTACAAGTAAAAGTCGCAAGCTGTATCGTGGGTAAATCATTGGTAGTGCAAACAAATGTACGACATGGAGTATCTTTCTGTATCCATTGCTCTATTGTCTAAAACTACTGACAATGCTAGCTCTTGTCCACATATATCAAGCCATGCCATCATCTTCGCCTGGAATTTCATTTTCACACGAACAGCACCTTTCTTGTCACTCTCTTTCTGTTCACAGCAACATTAATAGACGAAATAAACTGCTCGATTAAAAAAATTGAAAAAAAAAAAATTTTTACATTCTACACTTGATTTTACTGTACAATTACGTTGAATCCAAAACAAAAACGGAGGAAATTATATTCTTTAAATAAATTAAATCATTTTTTGAAGACTGTCAAGTGCTATTTTCTGATATAAACAAGTGTTTTCAATTAAGAGGACAATACAGGAGAGAATTCAAAAATATTAACAGTATAATTCTTTATGATTCATCCATAATATAAAAGAAAAACTTACTGAAGGACGCATAACACGCCAAAATGCTCGTTCTTGACTATCAATTATAGTTTTATCCGTTTTTTTACGATCTTTAAGTACACTATTAAAAAGCAAAAATTATATTTTTCAATTTCAAACTGTAATTTAATTTCAAATATTACCGAAATTGAGCTTCAGCCTGCATTGTAACAAAATCCCATTGATGAAGTAATTTCTTTTTCAAATCATCTAATGCATGCTAAGATTAAAAATAAATCAGTAAAAAAAAATTATTTATTAATAAATCAACAAACTATTTCATGTTCTTCAAGGCCATGTCGTTGACGATTTCTTAATGTTCGTTTCATTAAATATATTGCTAAAATAAAGTAAACCAATCGTTTATAAGAAAAATTCTTCTTTAATTTACCATATTCTGTATTTCCTGTAGTCCAATTTGTTGAAACCCAGAAATATGGTGCTTGAAAACGAAATAATTCATTGTCTTCTTTAATTTGTACAGCTCCATTTGTTGTTACATGAAAAAAATAACCATAATAGCATAATAATGAAGCAAGATGAAGTGCTTCAGCTAGAAGAAAACAGCAATAGATTGGATAATTGTTTTTCTTTAATATTAAAATGAATCATTTTACGTACCGGAATCTTTTACATTTAATTTTTGCATAATCCATTCTGTTATATCATTACCCGTAAATGCATTTGGAACTGTTGTAAGAAATAATTTTTGACTACGAACAGGTACACCTGCTGTTGGATGTTGCATGGCTTTAACAATACGTTCCATACGTTGAAATTGAAGTGAACGTGGTAAACCTTTTCGTTGAGAATTGGTTGTTATTTCCATTTTTATTGATTTTATTTTCTGAAAGTATATGAAAGAAAATCATAATATAAATGAATATAAATGTATTATTAAATTGTATTTTTTTTTGTGTTTGTTTTCACAGACAATGAGACCATGATACATAAAAGTTATTATTCAATATACATAAGAATAGTATTAGATACCAAGAAGAGAGAAAAAAAAACAAATATTATTATTGAGATACAAATTGAGAATAAGAACAATTTGTGCTACAAGACATAATAAATAGAAGAGAGGAAAAAGCCGCCCCAATAAACAAGAAATGAAACATCTGACACAAAAAAGTACGAGTTTTTTTAAAGTCATGTCATATGCTTTTTTGCTCCATTTTTTTTACAAAACAAATCAGCATATGTTAAGAAGTATAAATAAAAAACAAAGAGAAAGAGAAAGAAGAAGAAAAAATATTTGTTCATCACTATACCATCGTATCATAAATTTGTGCATTTTTAATTTCGTCGTTTTTTTTTTCAAAGGATGCGCAAATAAAAGAAAACTACTAGAGTGATACACAAACACACACACACGAACACAGACAAAAAACAACATGAATATGCCGTAGAAAAATAGCAATGCAAAAAAGGTGGACAAAAAAAAGATTAAATTTTCGTATGTTGTTGATTATCAAGAATAGCATTAAGAATTTCTTGTTTAGCTTTTTCAATATCTTTGCGTATTTCATTTAATATATCCATTTTAAGTTTTTCCAAATCGCTTGATGTATAAATTGGCTCAGTTGGTTTTCGTCCAACACGTGGTGAAGTTGCTACAGGTCCAGCTGTTGTTGGTGGTAAATTTGTTGTTGTTTTTGATGATGTTTTATTATTACCTGAATTATTTGATTCATTTTTCTCATTTTCATCAATATATTTACGTCGTTGAGCAAATTTAGCTGCCATTTCTGACATTAAATCCATTTGTGGAACATTTGGTTTTCGTCCTGTATTAATATTACTAGCACCATTTGTATTAGAAAGTAATAGGGCAGGCGCAGGTGGTGGACCATTACCAAAACCATTTGGTAATGGAGGCGGTGGTGGTGGAGGTGGTGGAACACTATTAGAAGTAGATATTGTTGAATTTAATGGTGGTGCCGGTGGTATATTATTAGTTTTATTAGTAGAATTATCGCCGTAATATGAATATGAATCTGATATAAGAGCGTAATTTGTTTCTTCATCTTCAGTTGATTGATGTTGTTGACTATAATAATTATTATTTATTGCAGATGGTGCTGACATTAAAGGAATTGAATTTTGACGCAAATGGCTAGCGTAAGGTGATGATGAGTATTGTTGTTGTTGTACATCAGAAATCGATGATGAAGAAGAAGTACAATTGACAGGTACTATTGTCGTTGCTGTTGGTGGAAGTGTTGAAGGTGGTTGACTGGATTGACGTTTATATGATGGCATGTTATTATTATTATTATTCATCGTTGAAGATGATGATGGCAGAGTTGCTCCACCATTAATAATCATTTGAGTCGATGAATTATTAGTAGAACCATTAACATTTTCAAGAATTTTCATCATTGTCATACCAAATTCTTGTGCGTCAAGTTTAGATGAAAAATTTAGACCATAAACAGATGATTGATCACGCCATTGATGAAATGTTGGAGTTGCTTGATTATATTTAATACCTTTACTTATTGAATGATTTAAAACAACTTCATGATCTTGTATTTGTCGACCAACAATACGATATGTTTGAGTTTCAGATGAATATAATAATTGTATTTTAGCTGGACCATTTGATGCACAATGTAACCATTTTTTTTGTCCATCATTATAAATCATTGCGGTTGCTTTACAACTTGTTAAAATATCTTCTTTAGAATTATTACCTACCATCATTGATTGAGATTTATTTTTATTGTTGAAGAATATGATATAGATGAGAATAGTACAGACTAGAGATGAAAAGTAAGATATTTATAGATGAATATATCATATTGTTCAGTATTGACAAATTTCTTATCGATTATAGTTTGAACGCGTTTTACAAATATAATGATGAGCCTATGAGCAATTTGTTTCCTGTCAACATATTCTTACCAAAATAAGCTCATCTTACTTATTCTTCTTCACCTGACGCAATACGAACAACACATAAGTATATGCAAGTGTTAAGAACAATATCAGATTACAGGGTCGATATACACTGAACTAGTAGCATCGTTTTGAAAATATTTGTTCTTATTTATTTCTCTGTTTGTGGACTGTTTATTAAGCACTATATACGTGCGTATATTGATGATTACACGCCTGTGTTTTATTTATATATACAAGCAAATTAAAGATGAACTATCATTATGTCTACTTGTATTAGGAATAGTAGTTTGAACAGTGACGATGATTCTTGCACGATCTGCTCAATATATGTATATATATATCGATAGCAGCAAAAAAAATAATTGGTCATTCACTGTTTTTTTTTCTCGTCTTTTATTATTTCTCTATTTGACAATCTTTATCAAATTTTATTGGAAAACAAAATACAAAGGGCACGATCGATGACAATATTGATAGAAATACATATACAGACATTTCATTTGACATCAAAGAATTATTTTATTTAAAATCATAGATATGCTATATGATTGTATGAAACGCACGTGTGTATAGATGATTACTTGTGTTTTTCTACTCCCTTTATGTTAGGATAAAATGCAAAGGACACGTTTAAAAACAATTAATCAATAATATATATGTGTGTGGGTGTCTGTTTTTCTTACTTTCATTGGTAGTTTAACGGGTGATCAAAAATCAATGAGACAAAATGTTCATTCATTTTTCAACCTTTTAAGGAAGCCTGCAGAATATTGAAAACATTGGATTAGAATCTGAATTTTGTGCTCTTTCCGAATATGGTTTCAACATTTTTGTAGGACTTCTGGTTAAGGACCTATGGGCTGCCAATCTTTTAGAGGTTTGTAAGTTAAATTTGGATGAAAAAAATTGACTCTTTTTGCTGCATGTTCTATGTAACAGATTTTTTTTACATAGAATTAAAGATGAAATGATTCTCTCCGCAGTGATATAAAGATCACAAGTTCCAAAACAATCATTCAGGAATATCCGAGTTCACTTTGCAAGTCTGTTTTTTTTATAGAAATCGAGAAGATTACCTCAACTAATAAGATGTCTCTTATCAAAATACTTGCTGTCGAGTTTAAACTCTGTGTATAAAGTACATTCCAATGAGTTATGAAAAACTCAAAAAGGATAAGTCCCCTTAGATCTTCTCTCCAGAGTAGTTATTGGCATTTAACTAGAGTTTTAGTCTGTGGCATGATATATATCAATAAATCGAATGACGGTATTTAAACTTGTGATTACGTTCAACGATAGATCTACTTGTGAGTAGAATGCTTGAAAATTTCCGCTCACGAAAGCGTTTGCTTTCCAAGATATTAAACTCCCAAAAATCACTAATGTCCCGCAAAAGATGCTAAAATTTTTAGGACATTCTATTCAGAAATAGACCACTCTGTTAACGGAACTGCAGATCTAAATACCGTCATTCGATTTATTGATATATACCATATCATAGACTAAAACTCCAGTTAAATGTGTATAACTCTACACAAAAGATGTAAAAGAATTTATCCTCTTGAGATCTATATTATGCATAGTCTGAACTCGACAACAATTGATCAGTTGAAAGCGTTGCCTAGTTAGAGCTAACTAATCATTGGTATGTACCATTTCGTTCAGAAATATTTGCTCTTTCATTCGCTGTGTTTGAAATAAACTTCGTTTCTACCTTGGGTAATTTTTTGGTGCGCCAAAGTTCATCCAAATTTAATTTATGGACCTATAAAAAGTCGATTCATAACTTCTAAATTAGAAATCCTACAAAAACTGTGAATTCATGCTCGTAAAGAACATAAAACTCTGATTCTAACACACACTCTTCAAAATGGTTGACAAATGAATGACCATTTCGTCTGATTACTTTTCCATCACCCGTTATTCGGATTACATTATGTTTATATGATTATAGAATACAATTCTAATTAATTTAAGTGAAATTTAGTCGAAGTTGTCGGATGAATACAGTATATTCTTTTACTTTTTATTGAAAAAAAGAGTTTTATTATATAAAAAATTGATTAGTGATATTACTATTCTTGCCTATTAAACATTGTCAATAAAACATTGAACACATACCTTATAAATACAAAAGAATCACAAACAAATTTCACTTTAATTCTATAAAGAAAGAAATACAAATTTTGATTTTTTTTAATTATTTTTTCTTACCATAGGAAAAAAGAACTTCATAAAAAGAATATTTTTTCTTTGGCTACAAGACAACTTCTTATTGTCATCTAAAAGAATAATTTGTAAAGCAATTAAATTAGATGAACATCTGGTCTTATGTTCAACAAACTAAAATTTATTGACATGACCTCTTTATTTATTCTATTGGGTGTAATCCTTTTTGGAAAGAATTTATTCTTTATAGAAAAAAACCTTCATGATAAAAAAATGAATTAAAGAATAATTTATCAATTATATCTATTTACATATTATATTTAATAACAAATATGCATAGATATGTTAAAGAATAAATCATAGAGGTATTCTTCTTAATTTTTATTGGTTTAATAGATGTCAACCGGTATATTGGCCAAAGGAATGATGATGAAAAAAATGGGTTAAAGAGGAAACTACGCTAGACAACTGACGATTAGTTAGTGACTTTGTTTAAAATGTTTTTTTTTTTAATTTTAGATAGATTATAATAAAGTAAAATCTATCTTTTGAATGAAGAAACGACGTCGAATTGAATCAAAATAAAAATTAATATGTCAGCAGTTGTGACTATTCGTCAAACAACAGCTACAACAATGAATACAAATAATAATAATAATAATAATAATAATAATAATGATAATAAAAATACTCAAACACCTATACGTTCATATGGTATAACGCAGCCAATATCAACAAAAGGTCCTGATCCATTGGATATTATAGCAACCAAAAATCTTGAAGATACATTACGTTCATATGATTATTTTGAATCAAGTGAAGAATTATCACATCGTATACAAGTTATGGCTAAATTAAATATACTTGTACGAGAATGGATACGTAATGTTTCATTAGCAAAAAATGTACCACCAGAAATTGCTGATAGTGTTGGTGGTCGTGTACATACATTCGGTTCATATCGACTAGGTGTTCATTCAAAAGGTATTTAAAATAAATTTCAGAAATTAAATTAGATATAAAATTTACTAATAAAAAGAATTTATAAACTAAAATAGATTTCAATCTAGAGAAATAATGTACTTATTGATCTTCTCAATAAGTGTATTGATTATGATTAGGGAATTTTTATGCTTATGTAGAGTTTTGAAAAATGTTCGCAATATAGAAGTCATCACAAAGCATGATATTTTGTTAACATTAGTTTCTTTTTTACAATTGGTCATTTAAAAATCATTCTCAAAATATAGGGAAAATCTTTCAGAGTACATATGTCATTTATATAATTCTATGTATTCATATAATTGTATTGGTTCTTACAAATTCCGTATTCTTTCTAATCTATCACTGTTCAATAATAATATTCTCTCGAAATGACATTAGCTATCAAGTAAAAAACACAACGACCTAATTTTCATTAAGTTGTCAATTTTCTTCATAGTCAAGGTTGATTTATAATGTTATCGAATACTCTATTATACTTTCGATAGGACAAGAAAAATAGTGCTTGTGAGTCATTTTCGATTAGAAAAACAGAGTATGTTGTGGTGATTGTAGGTCTTCGTTCTCGCATTAGTATTTTATCTCGTGTTCTATAAATAGACTTAAATAAAGTTTACTTCCATGAACTATGAACAAAATCGAAGTTTTGACACCGATATGTAGTTAATTATTGAGTTGATGATAGCAAACTTCGAGTATGATTTTGAGTTTAAAATGCTTGCATTTCGATTACATATCAGGAAGATTTTAGATGAGATTTAGATTTGCTTTGAGTTTTTAATTGACGTAGTACTTACGAAGGAACTTTTTGAACTGGCCAACCTCTTTTGAATTAAGACTATGTGTAAGGTAGAATGCAATGACATGAAAAAAACTCAAAAGAATAAGTCTCCTTTGCTCTTCTGTCCAGAGTTATAGGGATATTACTAGAATTTCGATCTGAGATTTTGCCCGCAGATAGGTCTATTTATAAGTAGAATGCTCTGAAAATTCCAGCACAAAAGAATGCTTCCTTTCCGAAATATTAAACTCAAAAACAGAAAATTTTAGGACTTTCCGTGAGATAGGAGTAATTTTTTGGAGTTTAATAGCTTGGAAATGAAACATTCATTTGAGCTGAAATTTTCAGGACATTCCACTAATAAATCGGCCTATCTGTGGGTAAAGCCGCAGGTCGAAATACTGTCATTCAATTGCCTGATATTTACTATGACATAGACTAAGAATAAAGTAAAATGCTTAAAACTCTGAACAGAAAGTCTAAAGAGATTTATCCGTTTGAGATTGTGTATATCTCACTGGAGTCTACTTTAGACACAAAGTTTGAATTTAAAAGCGATTAGTCAGTTGAAAACGCTCCCTCATCGGTTTTTACTGAAACAGTGAAAATATCACTCAATTGTAAATTGAAAAATAGGAAATTTTTCTATTTGATAGTAAAATACTAATGACCCTTATCTATCGGATAACAATTATCTCGTAACGTGTTCGAATAGACGTTGTTAACACTTAAGTGCCACGGAACCAAGTTTTTAAACGCTAAAATCTCCAATTTCACTGAGTTTCGGAGAAGAAATTTCCGAAGACCAAAAATCTTCTACCATACCTTGTAAAGTTGTTCTTGTGAGTGA